TGAGTGTCCATAGATGTCATCTTACTTCGCCACAGCTATAATCGCAGCATTCTACCGCAGCGCCAACGTGTGCAGGTCGCCTGTCCCAATAAAGCTTACAGAAGCTTTGAATTTGAGTGTCACTGCTGGTGCGGCACGAATCCTCGCGAGCCGCCTCGCTTGAGCCACTCGACGCGTTCGCGAGAGTGTCTATTAACATTCTCCCAAGCTCTTCAGCCATCGAAGCTTAGGGATACGGTATCACGCCTCAGGCACGAGATAATGTCGTATCCGATGAGGGCGAGCGGCATCGTGACACTTACATTGAAAGTTCCTTAGTTGCTTTTATGTTATATATAACACTCTTCAGCAGTTGCTGTCCCGCTTGAGACTACAGTAAAACCTAGGATCACCGATCCACATACATTTAAATTACAGGTAGGACTTAAAAAGTCGACATGTTCAGTTCATACCTTCCGTAAGATTACAAGCCGGTCTTGAGTTGATTTTGTGCATCTTTCATTCTATACTGTGCTTTTCCTGTGCTGAAGTTAAAAACTAACTAAAACCAAAGACCCTCTCTGGAAATGTCTCGTATTCACTTGCAGTCGAATACTGATCCGGAATTGAGCGAGACATGGATGAGAAGACCGAGAACTACTGCATGCATAAAAGTGTACCCCTTGATTCAAGTAGATTGGCAGCTGGAAGGCGGGGCTTGTGACCTAGTTCGTCCATGTCCTTTGGAGACCCAAACAAGTGGCGACGACGGCAACCGAGAACCTCCCACGTCTTCAACTCCAGGATAGCAAGCCTTGATCCTATCCGTACTGAGCAACGATGTCGACAAATGATAATGCCCGCATAAGTCGTCAAATTGGCTTTTTTTAAAACAAATCCAACGGCTTTTCTCAGCAACACAGCTTTCTTTTACAGAATACGATATCCTCATCACCAACCAAACTTTCAAAAACTTGATGATGATGAACTCAAAACTCTACGCCTCGAAATCACTTCCGCTCGCTCTAATCTACTCCAGTCCTACTCCAAACTCACAAAATTCCATAATGAATGGACTCTCTTTCTACAGTCGAATCCAGGCGAGCAACAAATTTTTGACGATTATCTCGAGAAAAGTGGTAATTATCGTACCATCATTGATGAAGCCGTCAAACAATTAGAGAATATGAACAACTTCTGAACTCCATGGAACAAAAGTATTCTCAACGACATCTCTCTATCGCTCCACATCTTCTAAGACCAACACTCATGAAGAGCGTACCCAACCATTACATTTAGCATTTTGATGACCAACACTCAAATACCATTCGCGTCCCAGCCTTTCATGGTCAACTCCCCCACGGTCAATCCTTTCATGACTAATCCTCTCGCGACGAACGCTTCTTTGATGAATTTTGTTGATGCGTCCATTTTGAGTAAACTACAGCTGCCCACGTTCGACGGCAATCTTTTGGAACATCCAGAATTTGCGTCAAGGTTTGCCACACTCGTCGGAAACAAAACCCAGCTAGATGACACCACGAAATTTTCACTTCTCAAATCATGTTTGCGCGGTCGCGCTCTGCAAACCATGTAAGGCTTATCTATGACTCCAGAGAACTATAGAATCGCAATGGACATTTTGCAACACACTTCGACGACAAGGTCACAATGAGATATATCATCTACACGAAGCTTGTTCAACTCCCAAATTGCGATCCCGAAGGCGGAAACCTCCTAGCACTCTACAATCGCATGTTTGCGCTGATACGACAATTCTCCGTCAAAAATGATGATTCTCAATGAACAGCACTTGGCGCCATACTACTGAACAAATTACCAGCCCGCGTTCGAAGCAGAATCTACGATAAAAAGCGAATGATCACAACCTTTCCCCAACCGAACTTCTCCATCTACTCACCGACATCGTAAGGATACCACACTATACGAGATGTTTCATAGCAAAGTGTCCAACACGGAACGCCCGTACGTCAGCTTCAACGCCACTTTTAAATACCAGAAAAAGCGCAAAAAGATCTCACACACAACAACAAATGAAACCATGCCCTTACTGCGAGCAATTTAACCACTCCGCAGTCTCATGCGACGTATTTCCGACTCCTTACCACCGCAATCGCCGAGCAAAAAAAACAACGCATGTGTTACAATTGCCTATCCAAATATCATTCAACAAAGGAATGCACTCGAAACGAAGTTGCAAATAATACTGCAAACAACGTCACCACACATCCATGTGCTTTTCCCAGCCTCAACAACAACTACAACAACGACCACAAACAGACGTGAGAAATCGATGAAATGAGCTGCATAAACCACGAACATATCCTGAGCGGCAACATTGCGCAAATATCCCCGTTGAAGAATCTCCGCATCTACTCCTTTGCTAGGGACCAGTGAAGATACAACTCCAACAACAATCACTTGCAGCTCCACATTGCCTCCAAATCAACAGCCCAAACCCAGAATGGCGCTCATGTGTGCTACCGTCAACCTCTACAATCCATCAAACGCTTCTCTTCGAGTACAAACAACAGCATTTCTCGACTCCGGCTCGAGTCATTCCTATATCACCTACGATATAGCTGAAATTATGCAACTACCCACGCTTTCAACCGAGACTATCTCAGTTTCTATCTTTGGAAGCAAAAATCTCCTTCGATTGAGGTCAAGAAACCACAAAATCGGCATCAGTACCAACCAAGGAGAAAAAGTACTCGAAGTGAAGTCTCTGCCGACAATCACAGGAGACTTCGCGCAGATCCAGCATACTCAAGGTATCCAAACCACTGAGTTTGTAATTTCAGATTGCAAGCCACCACTTTTCATCTGCAGCGATTACTTTTGGGAAATGATCCTATCAGACGAGTTCTACTTGAAAATCGTAATCTCCGGATGCCGCCTACTTTACATCGATCTGGGTAACATCCTCACGCGAGCTGCTGAATCTAAAAGATTCCGATGGATGCACAAGTCTTTGCGCCCGTGACGATATTTCCAACCCTATCCATCACGGCAAGCTCAACGAACTTGTCAACAAATTTTGGAATCTGGAGTCAATAGGCATCACAGATGATCCTACACAGAAAGACGATGACATATGCTCAAAATAAATCAACGATACAGTTTCTTTTGATTCGAAGGAACAACGATATATCGTCAAACTTCCATTCAAATCCCATCTACTACTAGATAACTACACCATAGCATACTCCAGGTTAAGCAGCTTATTTAAATGCTTGAGCAAAAATCCAGGCTATATGGAGGAATATAACAAGATCTTCAAGGAGCAGCTCGAACGAGGCATCATTGGAAATGTGCCCAAAACACTCTCGTTACCTTACGCGCACCACGGCGTAATCAAACAATCGAGCAATTGAAAATTCGCTGTGTATTTGACGGTTCAGCAAAACTGAACGGAAGTCCGAGCATAAACGAGATTCTGTACCGAGGACCCGTACTACTTCCAGACTTGACAGGTATCCTGATCCGCTGCCGATTTCCGAAGATTTTGATCACCAGCGATGTTGAAAAAGCATTCCTGATGGTAGGCCTTCATCCCGATTGCAGGGATTACACTCTTCTTATGGCTACACGATTTAAGCCATTCTCGTCCAAGAATGTAATCACTTACAGATTTACGCGAGTCTTGTTTGGCCTCATATGTTCACCATTCCTTCTCTCCGCCACCATTCATCATCATCTGACTACAGTGTCAACTCCTCTATCCCAAGACCTCCTAAGAAACACGTACGTAGATAACGTATGCCAGTCACAAGTATCGAAGAAGGAATGACTTACTACAACGACTCCGAAAAACTTTTCTCAAGCAGGAATGAATCTACGAAAGTTCGTCAGTAACTCTTCTGCACTTAACGAGTTCTTCATAACCAAAGAAAAAACCAAATCGCAGCAGTTCAAAAACTCCTTGGAAAAACCCGGGGGGTATTTCCAGCCGATGAAATATTCATTCTCCCTCAAACGCCTGCAAAAGGGACTACCTGGACCAAAAGAAAAATCTTGAAAGAAATAGCCAGCATCTACGACCCGAAAACTATTCCTCCAGTCTCTCTGGAAGATAGAACTCAAATGGCACCATCCATTACCAGGAGAAAAGGTCGATGAATGGAAAGAACTTACTGGCCAATGGACGTCACCTACACTGAAGCTGAGACACAGACTACTCGAAAACTGTGACAATTCAGCCATGCGCTTCGATCTTCATGTATTCACCGACGCTTCAAAAAATTTTGTGCAACAGCATATCTTGTTCAGATCTTCGCGAAGCCTGCACACAAAGTATCCTTCATCATGTCAAAGTCACGCTTGGATCCTCTGCGTCAGTCGGTTGCCATATCACGACTAGAACTATACGCTCTTGTCATGGGAGCTAAATTCATCAACTTCGTTGCCAAGCAGTTACAGTCGATGTCAATTACGTACTCCCTTTCGCATGCGAACTACGCATGCGCAACGCAAGGGTCCCGCATGCACACCTTCAATCGATAAGGCCCGCTCAAATGCCCGAGTCATATGCGCGCGAACGCGGCGCGAAGCTCACTGCATTTACGGAATCGGGAGCACGTGATTGACACGGACTATAGACATTCACTTACGCGATTCTTATGGTCCGACAGCACGATTGCTCTACATTGGGCACAAAGTCGGAAAAAACTCTCTGTTTTTGTATGGAACAGAACCAAAACCACTCAAGAACTGACCTCGGACGTCACACTGAAATACATTCCCACGAGTGGAACCCGGCGGATACGCTTCTCGGGGAGCCACTATCCCTGGACCATGCCACCACAGTGCTGATTATTTTGCAATTTGCAGGATCGTAACATGTTTTCACTTTCCTATAGCATTCTTAGCATTTCCTAGAAGACTAATGTTCGGAATTTTACCATAATTGTCTTAGTCAATCACAGCCGCGACAAAGCATTGCTTGACACAGTCACTCAAACATATGGAAAGACTGCTATCTATGTAGAGGTTATCAAGTCAAACTTTGTATAAATGCTCGTGGTTCTGTAGACGCGTTGCCTATCAACATATCAGCCAATAAAACTTCATCCAAGTCATTTGAAAACGCAAACAATGTTTGTAGCAATCGCCTTTCTTTCATTCCTGGAGGTAGTTCTCGTCTGCTCGCCTGTTCGCACTGGGCAAGGTGGGTTTTCTATATCCGAGGCAAATTGTCCTTCAAAGAGAGTAAGTGTAACACACTGACGACCACTTGAAGTCGAAGTCAAATTTAGTGAGATGACGACTATCCTAAGGTAAGCTCACTTTTCTTTCTGTGCTGGATCTAGAAATAACTTCCATCTATTTCGTCAGCTTCACAGAGCTACTGTTGATATACTGTAGGTGGCAATATGCCTTGTTTTATCTGGAAATGCGCGCCGATCCGTGACAACTCCTGGTCCCAAAAGGCAGACAGCTTAGAATTTGCATGGCCGTCAATGTTTTAACAGCTGTTCTACATCAAGGGAAGGAGAAAAATTACAGGCTATAATTCAGTTTCTTTGTCAAGGTGCTCTCACCAGAAAGCAACTGGATAGAAGTTTCCTTAACTACGAAATCTCATGCATTATTTGATTCCTTACTGAATCTTCGAGTTTGAATTTCACATTCTAAGCACTGGGTCAAAGCTGTGCCTCAGAGCTTCATAATGTTGCTATTTTCGAATAAAGAGGCCCTCAGGGGAGTTGAAGGGACTTCTCGTCTGCCAGCGATGGGCCCATTGGCTTGATCGCGTGCGCAAGCTGCGAATGGCTGACCGCCGGGACCATTGGCTGACCGGCGACACTAGCCAATCGCGTTCTGGATGACTGAGAAGACTCCTCCTTGAGGCGTTCTCGCTTACGCAGTTTGACCTTCCAAACCGAGAAGGTCCAGAAATAAATGAAATCCCAACTAAGGCACCTTATCTTTCAAAAGATGCACCCACGCTTTAGTGGTAGTGCTGTGCTATTGAAACAAGCAAGATTGCAGAGAAGCATCTTATTCTCCGAATAACTCATATGGATAAGATTCCCGTGGAATTTGCGTGGGGTAAAGCTATCAAAGGTATAGCTGCAACCGAGAACGATGCAAAGAGGAATTTGAAAAAAGCGGTCAAGAAAGCGGTGAGAATCCTAATCATACCTTTTTGATAACAACGAAGCTTGTTTGCCTATAGATAGTTAAAACAGTCAAGCAAGAAGCAAAAGCAGCTGGAGTCGACGAGCGTCGTACCACTGACTTGGGTTCTCAGTTCAAGCCAACAATAATTGACTATGATCCACTGCACTGTGACAACAAGATAACACCAACAAAAAACCCCACCTGTGCAAGTTTGGGCTTTCTCAAGTCACTATAACTTAAAAAATTTGATTTTGATTGCAGGAAATACTGTGGACTGGTGCTGCTCTGCCACAAACAACATGATTGACAAGATACAATTCCCAGGACAAAACGCAACAACTCCATTACGAGAATCCTACAAAACTGCACTTGTGGATCTCAGTGTGGGTAAAAGACGCATTGAAAATCTGCATAAACTGGCTAGTGCAGGTTTGCTCGGAACACAAGATTTCTTATTAGCGTGAGATGAGATTAGTATCGAATAGCATTAGTGTGATGGGTAAGTTTAGATGGTGCATCATGTACCACTGCCATAGAATTTGATTAATCAGCACTCTAGATATACAAGAAGTGGACTTGATACCTAATTACAAGGGGAAAGCTGGTCGAAGTGGCCTTTTGAGATGAGATGCAATCAGTCTTGTAGAGCTTAGAACACTGATTCCCAATCTTCCTTTCCTGTCTGCTGCGAGCTTCTGCGTGAGGAGTTATGAAGGTTTTTATGAGTGAAAGTTAAATGCAGTATTAGTGTGAAACCAGTCGCGACGTTCTCTCTAGGGCTTAAATATTCGGGTCACTCTGCAATAAATATTTTTAATTTAAGCATGCCAACTAGCTGCTGCCTCATTTGGACCTTAGGAAAAGTTTACGATTAATTTTGCTTTAATCTTGCAATCAATTTTTTGCTCACAAAAACCTTCATAACTTCTCGCCCAGAAGCCTGCAGCTGATAGCAAGTAGATTTATAATCAGCCTTCTAGGCTGTACAAGATAGTTGCCTATCATCTCAAATCACTTCGACGAACCTTCCTTTCCTTGTTAGTTTTGAAAATCATATTTTTGGAATTCAAAAGCTATGTTTTCAGATTGGGAATGCTCAGGCGGCAAAATGGACGAAAGAGCAGTGGGCATTCAAAATGGCAAACGTTGAGCGGAATCTGGGGAATGACAAAGACTATGGAGAAGCTTTCAGAAGTGTCTACTGAAAGTCCTTGGAGTGACATGACTAAGCACTGCGGAAACAGTTTGAATGAAGTTTGAGAAGCAATAATCACAAGAGTTGCCTGCAAAAGCGTTGGGAAGTCCATGAACCACGGTATGTGAATTAGCATGGAACGTTCCTTGATGAGAACTATGAAGAGCTCCTACAAATCGCAGATTTTGCGACTATCCAAGCAATCAAACGATGACGAGTGGTTTAAATAACTAGTGGTACATTAATGGAACCTACAAGGCAGTGTACAGGCAAACCTGGTGATATCTTGGGTCCGTATGCGGACATTGATTGGGAGACACTGGCTTAACCATTGCTCGAGCGAAAGCCTATGGGATTTATTCCTGGAAGAGAATGTGGACTCTAGACCCGTATATTCTCCTAGCAGACCAATCAGCTCCTTCGAGCACGGTAGAATACGGTATAGCCTGCAGTTAGAAGTTGAATTTTTCTGCCACGAATGATCCCTGATTATCCGCTGGAGCGATAGCTCAGCCAACATGTAAGAAACCCATGTACTTCAACGTTCAAAGACAGTATCTACCTGAACACTGCTTTGAAATCTACTGAAAGATGAAAGATGTAACCTATGAGCATTCAAATTTCAGATACATGCAAAGGATAAAAACAGTTGTATATCAAAAGTACATTCACACAAGTTAGCATTTCGCTGAAAGCAAAGGCAGAGCCAAAGCACTAGCAACTCCTTGTAATATGTATTACTCGGTAAAAGTAATTTTCGGAAATCATTTTTCTTGCGACAACGAGAGCATATCTAGTATTGCTCAGAAGAATACCTATTTTTTTTGAGCAACTGTTAAGTTGATGTTCCTTTGTTACCGTTCCAAACTCGCTGTTGATGACTCGTAAATGATGTGTACCTTGCCCGAAATGACCATATTGATAATCGAGGAAACTTAAGATTCCAAAATTTGCTAACATTAGTACAATCATCAAAATTCTGAAAACCTCAGAATAAGGTATGCGATATAGCATAGACTGAGGACATTTGCGAGTTTAATTTGGAGGATTAAATGGAAATATGAGCTCTAAAGTTACAAGTCCAGAGCGGTCGTAGTTTGTAAACAAAAGTATAGTAAAGTCGGTACTCGTCGGATTGCGAACAAGATTCAACGTATTCTAAGGTCGCAAGCCACTTGAGTAAGACGGGTAGAAATATCTCTGACAGAATGAGTGATTATAAGCGAAGAAGATGGATGAAGTTTTGCGAGGGCTAACTGATCTATGGAGCCCGGAAAATAAGGAGGCTAACATGCACTCTTAATGAACACACAGGTTAACAAAGAATTGTTCCCTCTATTGCTAAGGATTTTAAGTATGTTGTTTTGCAACCGCTAGTGCTAGATTTAACAACATCTTATCAAAGAAATCGCTTTATGAGCTTGAAAGTGCAATAAGTGCTGAAAGTGAAAGGCAATTATCACCTACGTCCTTTATCAGGTACATTTTCACACGATAATGCTCAAACGAGTATAGGAGATAATCTAAAATTGCGCAGAGAATGAGATGACGCATGCTGAGCAAAGCGTTTGCAACTATCATTCAAGCACTAAAAATCCCGTTGAATCTTTTAAATGAAAAAATAATTACGCTGGCAAAATTGCTTCTGTGCAGGCGGAAGCGATGCATAAGGGAGGGGGGGGGGAAGAAAAGAGCTGACTGAGCATTCGCGATGAGGAGTAACGGAAAGATGGATCAAAGCATTCATGCAAATAATTTCAACTTCGTGATCAAGATAAAGGCTGAAAATGGCTTAGTAAAAGCAGGTAGTTTTACAAAAATTCCTGATATCCAAATTTGCGTGGACTCTGACTTTCAGCGATCAAATAGGCAGCGGTTTATGGGCATACTAACAATGAGATGAACGACCAGCACAAATATATGGAAAAGATTTGTCGATGTCCTTCTCGTCCAACAACTATCGTAGTTGGGTTGCCATATTACCGAATAGTGAGTCTATTTTCAACTGAGGATTTTGATGAAATTCTGATTATCGGTTCCTCTTGTCTATTATTTTCTTGATTTTACACACCAAGGCAAAAATCAGATCTCTTGCTGAAGTCTTCAAGTCGTTTTCCTTCTTTACGAAGATTCTGCTCCCGAACCTAAACGCAGTTTTTTTGTAGAAATTGCCAGGGCTTGGCTGATTTTGGGCGAGTGGGAGGGGACCTCAGGATAAAGGGATCGCCAGCTCCCGATCTCCTTACGATTAATGCTCGAAAAATTTGACATCTGGGGTGCTATGTATCAATCTCAGGATCGTGTGCTGGTTCAAGATCTGGCAATTACACGATATTGAACCAGCACACGATCTGCCGTGGCGCCCACGATGTATCACTGTGTGCGCAAGATCGTGTAATTATCGTTTATTCGTTGACCGTAACGACTGCTGACCGCGCGGCGACCGCTGCGCGTGCATGATGTTTTTGTAGAAAAGATGAATAGAAAGAAAACAAAGGATTCTTTTCATCTTTATAATGTAGAAAAGAAACAAAGAATTCTTCTCATTTTAAGCCACGGTCCAACTTGTCACTTTTTCGCAAGTTTAGAAGGCACGCGTCGCAGTCGCCACGCGGTCGGCAGTCCGTACGGTCAACGAATGAACGATACACGATGTGCGGTGTTTGTGCGCCAGGAACCCGGACTGGCGCTTAGCGAGTGACCGTGCTGGCGTCAACGCGAAGTGACTCTCTACGCTCATGTCACGTAAATTCCAGTGTGGGGCGCCTCCCTTCGTTCCAAATTTCTTCTTTTTTTCTTGTGCCGCCATAATCCGCAATTTCCAATGTTCCTCTATCAACTTTGAATTTTTTGGTTAGAGAATTTCGCACATTAACACATCGACGGCCAAGGCGTTTCGCCGGTACTTAGCATGTTTCCGTACTTTTATGCATGATCATGACTCTTTTCAGATGAGCTCCACGATTTGAATCCCAAAACTAAGGCGGTTGTTGTGTGAAGGATGAACTACAAAACAACGACCATAAGTGTCCTGTTCGCAACTCATCAATCTGCATATTTTTTCGAAATTTCGTAGCAAATTGAGGTGCGCTGTGGTTTTTTCACCTTCACTTTGATTTTTCTCTTAATGATAAGTTACTCACTGGCAAAACAGCTCGCTAGAGTTGAGAAAAGAACGGGCGTTCTATAAGTGTCTTCAAAGGCGGAGCATGCTACTTTGCCTTTATGAATAGATGGTGTTGATGGCTTCCCTTCAACGTTTTTGACACTGACTATCCCCGAGACCTTTCTCTTAAATAAGGAGCAGCAACGTGTAGAAATAGAAGCTAGATCCTGTATCATCCACCTACTCACGCTTCCCTCATCATTTATCATTTCTAAATTTATGGTGGCGTCCCTAAGATCCACTGGACGATAGGATGTTTAGTAACATGGATGATGAGCAAAAGTAACGTTTTTATTACAGATCCATTTAACAATGACGCGGCGTCGTCTTATACCTTACCAAGATGCAGAGCAGAACCCGAAAGAGATGCTCATGCTCCGTTTCCTTTGAAAACTACCATGCTGACACTTTATCTGGGTCACTTGCTTCAAAGGTTAGCTTCTGCATCTCTAGTTCTTTCCTCATTTCCGTTTGATTTCTGTCCTGCGTTCTATATCTGCTTGTCTGAGTTGCACCTCCGTAAAAATGGTTCTTAGTCTACGCGGTAGTACAGTTGAGTCACTCTATATGGTCATTTGTGTCACCGCACGCAATATCCGTGATTGCCGTCCCCATCCGTTTTCTAGCCTCAGGTGGGATCTCCCGGGCTGTTATAACTACGATGTCCATTCCCCGTCATAAGCATCTATGGAGCAGAAACTTATCACGATTTGAGTCTTCACCTTAATTTGAAGCCAAACCGAAAGGGGGCGGCAGAAATGACATTGTGTGTAGTGAAACATATGATCGTATGGAATAACTCAACTGTAACAGCACATCAGTCAATACGCATTGTACATGATAAGGAAGGATACAATTGGAAGCAGAATATTTTCTCGAACAACCAGAACTAAGTGCTCATGGATTGAACGGTAGCGTGTCAATTCTACAGGTGACACAGTTCTTAGAATACTTCTTTGTTGACACATTTTCTAATGCTTTGTTACATTGAGAAATAGGTCCATAATTATAAGGTGCGACTAGAAAAAAAAAAGAATTTTTTCGCACTTGTCAGAAATTTGTTCTATCCAGTCTTTTGTATCACTAGCCAGCCTACGCATGCTTTTACCACGTCGAAATTTTGCGTTGAGAGTTCTTATACAAGATCTCGTATATATAGTAACGGTGTTTTTCAAAGTATGGTGCACCTGCAGAATTGTTTCCATATGAACCATCAAAGCGGCTGTCTTTTAATCATTTCAACATGTCATCTTTGAATAAGGGCCTCGAATTTGCTGGAGTCAACGTGTTAAAACGATCGAAAGACAGCCACGTTGACGGTTCTCATGGGAACAATTCTGAGGATGCACTATATGTGAAGTCCATTGACAATCAACTCTTTATACTTCGAGAGAAATCACAATTGACCACACAAAAGATTCGCCGGCCTGTAAAGTATTTGACCCTCAGGCTTTTAACATGGATCGTGCATGTATGTACTGGTTACTTTGCAGATCACATTGAAATAAATACTCTGGCTATATAATCGTAGATTTCTAGGCGCTACACAACTGGTTCCACAGTTCGCTACCGACGACTACTTCGTGAAATTTACTTGCGGCATCACCTCTTCGCAAAGACACGTAGTCCTACAAGGAGAAAGAACAAAGACCAAACAGTTGCTTCTGTCTGTGACATTCATGTATAACCAAAAATAATATATGACACATGAATAGTGTAATATTGTTTGTATGGAGCTTAACATTGTCGTGTATACTGCGTCTCTTTTTGGTATAAAATGTTCACTTATGAACTCCACTCCGATTTATAGCAAGCTGAATCCGTACGATTTCGGGTTCCTTTTCTCCTCGGCCCTTTATCCTCCACAATCATTCTAAGCACAACATTGAGAATGAGGATAATCACAAA